ATTCAGGCAGAGTTATAACCGACCAAGTAAATTAGATCAGAATTGAAGGAATTAAAGTAATGCTTACTACTATGGTAGGGTGTTTGGTCAATTAATTAAATCAAACATATATGTAGATACTTATTAGAGTTGTATAGTTGAGATTTTTAAGTAACATGATTGGCTAATTTATTTATATATATTGATAATTATATATGGTCTTAATAATCGGAAAAAACTTTATTTTAATTTTGAAAAATTTTATTAAACGTATCTAATACATACTGTGTACCAAAATTTCCAACATTAGGTTCTTTTTTTGCTTTTTTATTATGTTGTCAGATATCACAATTTCATTTTTAATGTTGTCTTTAGAAAAATTTATCCCAGAAAGACGTAATTTGGACTCTTTAAGATCAGGTAACATGTTTGGATATGTTTTCAAATCAAGTTTGTTAAACATTCTTTCAACCTGTTGTTGATGTACAACTATATAATAAATTTTAGTTGTTACAAATTCATAGAGAAGTGGGTGATCAAACAAACTAGGATTTAATGCATCACAAAAATTATCAAATTTTTCACGAAAAGTTAAATCTGAAACAAGGAATTCTTTTAAGCCAAAGTCATCTAAGGTATTATTTTTGATATTATTTTTAAGTAGTTGTATATATGTTATTTCTTGTTCAGATGGTTGAACTATTGGAATATTTAAAATAGTGTGTAGATAGCTTTTAGCAAAGGACTGGGCATAATTTCCTCCTAATCAACAAACTGACAAAGGTAATCTTGTCCATTGAAGCATTCATTTTTCAAAGTATATTATTGCTTTTTTCATGCCTTTTTCTAGTGATTCAAATATCTCACCAAATTTTAATTTACTTAATAACTTGAGTACTTTTAGCAATTCTTCAGAAAAAAATATATCAAAATTATTTGTGGTATTTTTTAAAAACTCTAGCCATTCTAAAACTTCATTAGGCATTTTATAAGCACGTCGACTATGAGGTAAGGTTATCCAGTTTTCGCCATTAAATATTTGTGGTACTGGGTCTTGACTGACATGAAATATCATTAATGGAATGAAAAATTATTGCCCGAATGTTGCTAAATATTTTATTTGAATATTGAGTTTTTTATCATTAAGCCAGATATGAAAAGGATGCCAATCATTTAAATAAGATTGTGTTGTATTAGGATGAAACTCTAATACTTTAATGAACTATTCCGAAAATTCAAGATGTGATTTCTTTCTCTCCAAATATTGTTTAGCTATACGCAATTCATACCCCAATGAGTTTGTAATAGCATTTAATATTGTGAATAGCAATGACTAATGAGAGATTTATAAAGATCTTGTATATATTCGGATTTAATATTCATTAGTGCATTACTATTTTTACTTCCATAGCCATCATTAAGGTACCAAGCAAGATGTAGAAAATTAAATGGATGAGGCTTTCTCAGAAAACCAGACACATGTCCGAAGGCTTCGTTTTTGAAATTGGTAAACACAATATTAATAATATGTAGAGTACATCTGATACGAGTTGAATTTGAATTCATTAGTCTATTAAACTTAACAATAGCACCATTTACATTTTCAGACATATACAAAGTATTATCAGTAAGCCATGTTGCACATTTCTGTATATCAATTTGATATTGTTGACAAGTTTCAATAACTGAATTTACAATAGTATTAGAATTGTATTTTTTTATAATTTTTAAACTAACCATGCTTGATATTAGGCAATTTTGTTCTTTATCCCAACACATAAAGCAGATAATTAGATTCTTGTCTTGACTGTGGGTTGATTCGTTAGCAGAAATACCGAAGGCATTTGTTTTTTAACATTTTTAGTTAAATTAGAAATAGCTAATTCTGCTATTTGTTTATGCCAGGTTGTAATCCGTTCTATTGAAGGACAACTTTTTGGTGGTTTACCTGTTAAAAATTAATATATCAATTTTGTGCATTCTATGGTCACATGCATCAAAACTTGTCCAACTTGAGCCAGTTTGGTTGTAAGCCAAATTATATTTAATGAATAGTGCCAATCATTTAATTTAAAAAGAGATCTAACTTGTTTTTTAAATTTCTCTGAAGAAATTTTCTTAGATCTGCGAACTAAGAAACATATTTTGAATAACTGATGAGACATTTTTTGTTGTAGGTGATGATTTTGGGATTCAAAGGATTTTATTTTTTAGTAAGAACCTCATTTTTTTTAATTAACTTTCTGTTTTGAAGCCTAAGATGATTATGTTCTTCTTTTAAAACAGAATAGCTTTCTTGTGGCCAATAAAGGGAAGTATAAATTACTTTAACTAATTGTTGTTGTAAATATGGGGATATAATTTTGTCTTCATTTTTTTCCTGTGGATATCTTATACTGTCTAACAGTTTTATCACATCTTCTTTCTCATTATTATCTAAGCTTTGAATAATTTTAATAAGTTTTTCCATAGATTTTATAGAAGCTTCTAACTTATTTTCTTTTTTAATAGTATTTATAAATTCTAGGGCATTATTAAAATCTTCTACATCAAGAGACTGAAGAGTATCCATAGCTTTTTTAATTTTTTTGGCTATTTCACGATTAGCCATCAGTTGTATCATTTGGCGATATTTTGCAGATAATTTTGGCATTATAATTGAATATAGGAAATTTTTTTTTAGGTTTGATTTTTTTTTTTTAACGCATAGTTTTTTTGAGAGAATATTTAAATACTTTTCTTTTTATTAAATAAATAATTTAAAAACAATTATATCTTTGACTTTTTAATTTATCATCAATGTTCGAAACTTTACATTACAAAAACTGGCATTAAACAATTGAACATAAAAGTTTGTGACTTGAATAATCAGACATAAAAATTATGTAAACTAGACAATTAGACATCAATTGAATATAAAAATTGTTGATTGGACACTATAACAATTACACAACTAACTACTGAGTTCATAAATTTATATGAGTTAGGCAATTGGAATAAAAATAGTGCTAATTGGGCAATTAAGCATAAAATTGTGTAAATTTGACAATTGGATATATAAGAATTGCGTAAATTGGCAATTTGAGCATATAAAATTTCACGAATTGAGTTAGAAGATATATCTCATTTTAGTTTAGTGATAAATTAAACTGTTGATTTTATGCATTTTTTAATTTAGTTAAAATCTATTACTTCATTTGTTCATAATTTTTTTTTTTATGCTTTATTATTAGGAATTTTATATAAAGAATCGCTTAACAAAAAGGTTTTTTTTCAATTAATACTATAATCTTAAAGAGGTATTGTAAAAAAAATATACTCAAGTTTACCCTTTATTATAAAACTGTTCTAACTAGAACATGTTGATTGTTACATGATAAGATACGTACCAATCCGAAAGTAAACTTTCTACACTTACTATAGTACTATATCTTAAACAAATACCTTTTTTCTAGTAAACCCATCTTACAAGCCAAATAAATATGAATTTTATTAAATGTTGTAATTTACAACTGTTAGTATAAAATTTCATCCAATTAGTATTATTTTAATATATCACATGTTTGCTTGCAATTTTGCTATCTAGTCTTTAACTTCATAATTAATTAAAAAGGCAAATATATTAATCAATGCACTAGAACTTGTACTTTAAATGCTCGAGTTAAAATTTTAATACTTATGTTATAATGCAAATTATTTACAAATTAATTCTTTTATACTATATTGACCGATATAAATATTTACAAAATACTAGAAAAAAATTTAAGTTTTATGTACCAAAAAAATCCCTCTCAGCAAATTAAATAGCACACTTTTTTAACCTATTTCATATTATTTTTATGCTTAAATAATATTAATACTAAAGAGAGTTTGATTTTAAAGATTCATCACTTTCGTATAGTAAATTTCTATTTAAAAGTGATATTATCTTGTGTAACAATAC